TATATATATATATATATTTTCTTATACAATCAGTACGTTTTTTTTAGTACAAAGGATAGTCTAAACTATAAGGGAGGGGATTCTCACACACACAACCAATATGCCATGAGAGTTCGAATATGAGACCTATGGTCTGCAAGTCAATGCCCTTTTCATTGGAATAGACTTTGTTGGCACACCGTTGGCACAATCAGTAGTTTAAGTTACTATGAACTACTTGAATTTACAAGAGGAGGCTTTTAGACCTCTCTAAGCAATTAAGGAAGTGATTTAATGTTCATAAGCTCAGGTTGCATGTGGTGAGTTTTTAAACAGAAACACAATTTCTTTTACTGCTGCGGCAAGTGCTTCGTTATTTTGCCAAACTTGGAAGAGAATTGGGTTAAAAGGCTTGGGCAATATCCATAGAAAATAACAATTTTCATGCCTACTTACAAAGATGAAGAACCTGTAAACTAACACAAATAAATTGTTAGGAATGTAATTAATTAATTGCAAATGAGAAAAGTGTCAAAGCAATGAACACTATATACATTTTCCAATATCAACTGGAAAGAAGGAAAGAATTGTAATGGGAATTATCTACAATCAATCACCTACAGATAGAATTTCCAGCCCGAGTAAATTGCCCTTAGTGCTAATACGAACAACATAAACATGTGCATATAAACCCCCCTCATCGATGAGGGTCATAGGAAACAAATGCAGGATTTGGAACAATGAGAGGCAGCTTATCAACGTACATAAAAAGTCTCTTCAAGTTCTGCCTAGAGATTGCAGACAGGTCAACAATCTCATTGTTGCTGGTGTAGATCCAAAGGTCACATGAGTTGACTCTTTTGAGGCTGTCCCGGCAGAAGGGGCACGACTGCGACCGCATACGCCTAGATAAAATCCAAAAGGGCAATCTTCTTAGCTGTGCAAGATTTACATGCATGATGTGGCCAAGTAAACAGATATCTTAGATCCAGATTATATATGCCAGTGACTATATGACCGTGGTGCTATGTTATCACTTATGAGAATGGAACAGATACAGAAGCATATATTCATTCTTAAGAGTGTTTGTTTCTAACTGTTATTTACTCCCGCAACACAGAAGCATCTAGCCAAGAAAGATTTACCAGGTGAACAGCTCATAAGGATCATGAATGCTGATGGAAGTACCTTGTATAATGATTGCTAAACTTCAAAGTATTTCCATCGAAATAATCGTATTTCAGCCTTCAGGGCCATATATGAGCAAGTGAAAAATGACTTAAATCATTGACCACTTGTGTACAGAAGATTGAACTCAAATGGGAAAGTTCTGGACTGATTTGGATTTGTTCTTATCTGATAAGTAACCTTAATGTTCTTCAACTGTGCATTAGGAAAAGAGAATGATGGCTTATAAAGAAGCAAATATACTAGATTCTGTAAGAAACAGAACAAATTAAGATTAACAAAAAAGGTGGGGAAAGAAAGGAGAAAGTAACAGCTTCTTACCAGTCCCGGTAGCACTTCATACACATAGAATGACTGCAATTGGGCAATACAACCTTGCTGTTCATCTCCATGCAAATTCCACATTCTTCTTCTCGCTCGGAATCAATTTCAGAGAGCTTTCCTTTGTCCATCTCATCTTTTCTCTTGTACTTGGTAGAAAAAATTTCTTTCTGTTTTCTATCTTCTACCTCAGTCAATCCTCTTTGAAGTTGCAACAATGAAGGAAATATCACACCTGCATTGAAATAGTCAAAATGGGATTGCTAAAAAGTGAAGAGTTGCATATCTTTTTTTCTTTCCCTAAATAGATAATAACCGAAACTAGATCAAGTACACTAAATTACAAACACTTCTTTTCAACAATGTTATAGAAGAATCCAAATTTCCTTCAATTTTACTTACTGTAGAACTCCTTTAGACTAGCCTTTCTTTCATGAATAGACATGGTCTTCCCATCCTCGTACGCCTGTGACAAAAAAAAAGGACACCATCACACCCACGACAAGAAGCAACACTTTCTTAAAGGGACCCTATAAGTCAACTAAGTTTTCATACGAATTGAACAAACTGCAATTCACCTTGTATATAAGAATTCTAAGCAATCCCAAGGCTCCAGCAAGGTGACAATCGGTCCACTGAATAAGAAACTGAAAGAATTGAGCAGCTGGACTGTAGGATAACCTCATTTGGAGGCAGCCACCATCATATTCCCTTCGATAACTAGAAGCCCTGTATCACATGATATACCTCATAAGTCAAAAACCCTGTTATATCTACACACGGGAGAAATATTAAGTTGCAATGGATAAAACCTTCAAGATGCAACTCTCCTCACCCCTTCAGAAAAGTCCAAAGCAAATGATGCATAAAAGCAGAATTTAGGAATCTAGCATATTAATATATGCAATGGGCCAACAAAAGTTCCCAGATTGGCTGGATTGATCAGGATATTATCCAATATCAAAATTAACTGCAGATTCTGAAGTTCAACCAAAACAAATTACCCAAGTTGACAAACACCAAAGGGGAAAAGCTTAGCCAGTGGCAAACGCTAAATATTTGCAGCCGACAATTCCCACACACAAATTCGAGAGAAAACTCAAAGAAGCAGCTCAAATTCCTAAAGGGTAAGAGTTCAAATACTCTATTCTATAATAGAAACCTTTGAGCACCCATTGGTCCATTGAGAAACCACCAAAAAAGAACGGTTTGATTGGGATATACCGAGCTTTGGAAACCCAAATTCTATACATATACTCTGAAGTTATAAATCAAAGTAAGTGTGAAATTCTGGGTTGGAGCAGAATCTCTTATATTTACCAGGAAACGAAAATCCATATCTATGAACCAAATCAGATAATTGATACACATAAACAAAGAGATATAATATCAGAAGTGGATGAGGATACAGAAGAAGAAAGAAACAGAGTCATACAGAGTATTGGCAAACTGAATATCAGCTTCAAGTGCCTTAAGAGAATCCTTGAAAGACTTTCGCATTGTTTCTAGGCTCCTTCCGCTTTTTTTCATAAGAAAAACTCTCCCATCAAAAACCCTAAACATCCATCACTCCATCACCTCAACCCCCAACGCTAAATTCATCCATGACCCAACCAGCACTCTGCCCCTTCTCTCTCTAAAAAAAACTGAAGAGATATCTGATAACAATTATGAACTGGGTTTTGGGCAGTAACTTCTTAGCGTTAGCTTGAGAGAATCTAGCACTGCGAGAAGGTTTTAGAGAGAGAGAAGGGTTGGGCTTACTTGGTTTTCGCTTAGAGCACACGTAACAGTCTAAAATCTCTCTCACAGTTCTCTATAAATTAATCCGACGACGAAGAGGAAAAATGAAAAGATTAATTATTTATTAAATGACAAATTTGCCCTTCATCCCTCGCCTCGGGATTTCTGTCGACAAGACCGCTTCCCGATATTTTCTTTCCATCATCACCACCCGCAACTCATCTTAAGCTGAACGACCAACCGGTTAAGAGGATACGATGTCGTTTTGGCGGTGGGTGCAGAGGAGATGCGTGCATCTCTAGGTGAGAACCAGATGAGAGCTAAATCCGACAGAAGATGACGGCAGCGGTCCTGGTGACACGTGATTTGCATGCATCACGATCTGGCTCAACCGTTTAGTTGTGGGTCCCTCCGACTTGGTGGTTATTTTATTTCTAGCGCGACGTGTCGTGATGGGTAAAAGGATGGACCCCACCTCATCCCCTGCCGTATACTTTAGCTTTATTAGTGTCGTGATTGGTAAAAGGATTAGTGTCCTTTATGTACCAATTAAAGGATTTAAGAAAAGAAAATTTGGTAGAAAATATTTTTATTTGGTAAATTTCATGGTGGTGCCTGCCTATTATCGTCAAATTTAATAATCCATCCATAATCCTGTGTTTCTATTGCTTGAGAATTAATTAGAGTCCACCAACTTGGATTAATAAATTTATTTAGTGCAAAACAAATAAATAATGACAAAATTAAGGCATTTTGTCCTTGTGCAGATGCTGCGGGGTGCGGAGTTGCCTAGGTCGAATTTTCCACTGACTGGTTAATATCTAATTTGTTATTAAAAATATAAATAAAATAAATAATTGGCAAATGGTATGACATACTTTATTTATAAATTATACACACAATTCCTTATGGAAAGATAAGTGCATGTCCAATTACACTTGGGTGGGAAATAAAGCTCTCTAATTGGTCGTGGTTATCAACTTATCAGTGAGTAAGAAACTTGTATAAAATGATTAGACCAAACGTTTGAATTTGGCAATAAGATATTAAGCGGGCCCCTGGAACCTTATTAGATTATAGTCTTCCATCGACCCCGGGCAATGACTGGAGGTGCATCTGCACTTTCCATCACCGGAAATACCATTATAGGTGCTGCATATTGCATCTCTGCTCAGCCTAAGAGGTGCATTCTAGATGTTCGACGAAAAGCCTAAACGAAGTCAATTTAATGTTGCACTTCCGCTAAAAAATTCCTGCGTCTATCGGGTGACTATTATTATAGTAAATAGTTTTACTATAACAATAACATCCCAATATGTAGTCAACACTGCAATATTGTTTATTTTTTTTATAGCAAATAATCATAAATAATCTTGATACGACACAAATAAAGAATCAATATTATATTGTAGATTATAGTCTTCCATCGACCCGGGCAATGACTGGAGGTGCATCTGCACTTTCCATCACCGGAAATACCATTATAGGTGCTGCATGTTGCATCTCTGCTCAGCCTAAGAGGTGCATTCTAGATGTTCGACGAAAAGCCTAAACGAAGTCAGTTTAATGTTGCACTTCCGCTAAAAAATTCCTGCATCTATCGGGTGACTATTATTATAGTAAATAGTTTTACTATAACAATAACATCCCAATATGTAGTCAACACTGCAATATTGTTTATTTTTTCGATAGCAAATAATAATAAATAATCTTGATACGACACAAATAAAGAATCAATATTATATATATACGGTAGAGATTGTCTATCTGCTTACAATTATATGTACTGTCGATATTCTCGATTTGCTACAGTAATAGTGCTACTCCACCCCCATCATAATAAATTTGATAACACCTCATTACCTCTCAAAGGGCTACCGATTAGAATTTCCACAACTAGCAGCTTAGATTAACTATCGAATTGAATTGACTACACAAACAAATGTAAAGGCAACACTGAACTTAATGATTGGTTGGATTGATGATAATGACAAGCTGCCAACCTATTTTCCAGAGATTACATTAAAAGAGAGCAATCTTAGAGTGAGAAGCTACCCTTTGCTTGTGGGATCATCAAATTAACTTAGCTGCAAGCAAGGGAAAGTTCCTTCTTCTTTTTTTAATTGAACATCAAACCACAAATTAAATAAGTTGTATATAAACCCTAGCTATTACCAATAACATTGGGATCTATTAATTACGAGGCCCAACACATTTTTTTTTGTTAATAACATGGTAATTAAAAACCATAAAGCAATAATAATTTCTTGCTGTTTGTTAAGCAAGAAAATTAATCCAGAGCTAGATTGTGTTGTGGGAAACAAGGCAGCAACTTTTGAATAAATAGAAGTGAAACCTTGGCGTGCAAGACTCTTATGGCCAAGATTAAGATCAATTGGAGCTCCTAAAATACCTTGTATATGTTTGATTTTTATTGGCTTTCTCATTTCTTGTAGCTCAAACTAATTTAAATATTAGGTTTCTATCCTATCCATGTTTAAAAGCCTTCTTGTATTGGGTTTTGATTTTGCAAAAACGTAAACCCTAATGATATGAAACTCTATGTTGTTTCCCTTCGCAAAAAATTTAAAAAATAAAATCATAGATAAAAAGAAATAAAAAAGAAATTGCTGCTTCTTGTTGCCCACACTATAGCTTTGGAATTTTCGTGCTCAACAAACAACATTAGACTTTGGACTGGACTCCAAAGTAAGCTTGGGGAGAAAGCAAACAAGCCACTATTTATATCACAACCCATCCCCATCCTTTTCCCACACTCTCATACACTATACTCATCACTCTCTCTCTCTCTCTCCTTTACAATGAGCAGCGTTGCCAGCTGGTGCGGCAAGGGACAGGTGGGACGGGTGGTTTTGACAATTTTTCGGGACACTGCTTTGACTTTAGCTTCTGCCTTGTATGTGACGTAAGTATTCCTTGACTTTAGCTTCTGCCTTGTATGTGACGTAAGTATTCCTCTCGTCTCTCTCTCTCTCTCTCTCTCTCTCTCACTTTGTTCCCTCATCTCATGCACAGGGAGACAGTAATGGGAAAGTTTAGCAACAATGGAGGGTCTGGCTCGTCTGTTAGCAAGCGGTTTTTTGGAAAACGAACAGAGGCTAGCAGTACTTAGATGGCTAAAGAGTTGGTATATGCAGTAAAGTGCAAATTACTATCAGTAGTCCAGACTTTAACTTGAATCAGATGTAATTTCTTTGCTTTTTAGATTCCCAGCCAAGTTGAGCAGTAAACAGTTTTTTTTTTTTCCGTAGCAATACAAGAAAAGCCATTGACATGAAAGCAATCAATCACTGGCTAATGGCTGCTATGTTAGGCTTATGAAAATACGCAATTTTATAATTTCCACAAAGCTTTGAAGAAGACAAAACTTACTAATCTACGATTCTATATGCAAAACTTTCGCTGCATCGGAAACTCAACTAGAAATCTAGACTCAACCCTCCTCCACCATGCAATGCCAATTATGGCGGCCAACATATTCCAGTCAAAATATCAACTTGACGGCTCAGCTTCTTTCTCTAGGTAAAATATGCCTCACGGAAGAACCAGACCCCCTAAATGAATCCATATGTCATCTTGGTGTTTGGTTCTGTCATCTGTAAACCAGCATGGCTGCACTTTGCAGATCAACATTTCCCCGTCGTATTCATACTAACAACAAATAAATTACAAAACCCATATTTGAAAACTCAAATGGGGCTCGTAAAATATGCCTCACGGAAGAACCAGACCCCCTAAATGAATCCATATGTCATCTTGGTGTTTGGTTCTGTCATCTGTAAACAAGCATGGCTGCACTTTGCAGATCAACATTTCCCCCGTATTCATACTAACAACAAATAAATTACAAAACCCATATTTGAAAACTCAAATGGGGCTTAATTCATCAAGGGTGATTTCCCTGGGGACTTTCAAATTAATTTGACTTGTATCCCATCCACTTCCATTTAACTGCTGGATGAAGTCTTCAAACCTATCTTCCATCTCCAGCAGGCTTTTTGCAAGCTGGTCAAATGCATTACCTAACCTATTCCAGTTCTCATATAGCCAATAAGCCTGCCAAACACTTCGTAAAACTGAGAAACTCGTAGCTCCAACCTGCATCATTATTGTTATCATCAAGGTTGATTAAACTTTGAGGACAATAATCTTCTATAAATCCTTACCAGCAATTTAAATGCATACCTTGAATGAAACAAAGACCTCAAAGTCGCTTATTTGTTGGTTCACTACAAGAATATATTTCTCCTTTGTGTATAACTCCAGAAGTGCCTTCAACTGTTATTAAAAGATAAAAGAAAAGGAAAAGAATGAAGGACTCTCTAACAAACTACTGACAGACCCGCATGCCCAGATTTGATGTTTATAAGGATATACTTTAGATGCTTTCACTCCTTCATGCAACGAAAGAAAGGATGGATTACCATGGGAGCAGTTCTCTCTCCAAAAATCATCTCCTCCAAGGGAACACCAAATGTAATTCGTGGTGTCATGAATCTTGGCCACAATAAAATGTTTTCTTCCCTATTGCAATCAACAGAACCTAAATTAAACAACCAGAAAGAATGGTCATTGTTTATGATGATAGAACAGCTTTATAAGCGAAGGATCAGAAAAGGTTCCTTACCAGGTACAATAGAGTGTAATACATGAGATTTTACCAGCATACGAGCACGCTTAAGATTTAACTGCAAGGAAAGGAAAACAGAAAGAACAGATCATAAATGAACTAAACCTTAAATCACATTTTCCCCTCTTGATCCAGTCCATGCATGGGCATAAAACAATTAAAATGTAGAATATCCAAATTCAATCCTATTTACCCCCCTACCAAGAAAACCTTATTCCTTGTTTGTGTCTCAGTGTGTGTGTGTGTGTGTGTGTGAGAGAGAGAGAGAGAGAGAGACTTACAGAGTTAAATTGGAGAACTGAAAGTGATTGATAGCGTAACCAAAGATGCAGAAGCCGCATGACCATCCATGTTGTTGCCAATACTGGGTATGCTCTTACAAGGCCTGGTGTATCCTGCATTCACGATTCTAAA